TGGTGTCATCTGCATATCTGAGGTTATTGTTATTTCTCCCAGCAATCTTGATTCCAGCTTGTGCTTCATCCAGCCCAGCATTTCTCATGATGTACTCTGCATATAAGTTAAATAAGCAGGGGGACAATATACAGCCCTGACGTACTCCTTTCCTGATTTAGGGCCAGTCTGTTTGTCCATATCTGGTTCTAACCATTGCTTCCTGACCTACATACAGATTTCTCAGGAGGCAAGTCAGGTGGTCTGGTATTCCCATCTCTTTAAAAATTTTCCATAGTTTGTTGTGATCCACACAGTCAAAGTCTTTGGCGTAGTCAATAAAGCTGAAGTAGATATTTTTCTGGAACTCTCTTGCTTTTTCGATGATTCATCAGATGTTGGCCATTTGATCTCTGGTTTTCTGCCTTTTCTAAATCCAGCTCAGACGTCTGGAAGTTCATGGTTCACGTACTGTTGAAGCCTGGCTTGGAGAATTTTGAGCATTACTTTACTAGCGTGTGAGATGAGTGCAATTGTTCGGTAGTTTGAGCCTTCTTTGGCATTGCCTTTCTTTGGGATTGGAGTGAAAACTGACCTTTTCCAGTCCTGTGGCCACTGCTGAGTTTTCCAAATTTGCTGGCATGTTGAGTGCAGCACTTTCATAGCATCATACCTTGGTCTAAATGCATTTTCTGTTTCTAATCCTTTGAGGTGGAAGAAGAGGAAGAAATATTTTCCCTTTCCTGGAATGGAGGATTTTGCTGATAGGAGAATCCTCAGTAAAGCAGGGGAAGGGGTTTATTTTAAATCAAAGGAAATAGTAAGCCTGTTTGTTTATTGAATAAAGGGGGAGAGGTAGCACATTGGTTTGGGAGCAGAGCTGTTGCCTTTCCTTTGTCTTTATTTCTTGGAAGTGGGTGGGGGTGAGGTGGTGGTACATGGCTCATTTGATGGCATTCAAAAAATTAGAAAGTAATAAAACCCATTTCAGAATCCTAATTATGTATGGATATTTTGCCAGTTAATCATAATTAGTGGCCACTCATCCTTTCTTGGGAAAAATTGCTGTAGAAAAATATTAATGAAAAAATGAAATAAAATAACTTTTGACACAACTGTAATTTGTGTGCGATCTTTTTCTGCTGTCTGTCCTCAGTTTCACTGTGTATATATTTAAGAAACAGTTAAGATTCATTTAATTTTTCAAATTTTCAGGACAAATGCACTGATAAGCTGGTTACTATTATGTGGTTTCATGGCAAGAAAACTGGACAAGGAGATAAGGACAGAGGGTTCAGTTCAGTTCAGTCGCTCAGTTGTGTCCAACTCTTTGCGGCCCCATGGACTGCAGCACACCCGGCCTCCCTGTCCATCACCAGCTCCCAGAGTTTACTCAAACTCATGTCCATAGAGTCGGTGATGCCATCCAACCATCTCATCCTCTTTCGTCCCCTTCTCCTCCCACTTCAAACTTTCCCAGCATCAGGGTCTTTTCACATGAGTCAGTTCTTCACATCAGGTGGTCAAAGTGTTGGAGTTTCAGCTTCATCATCTGTCCTTTCAATGAATATTTACGACTGATTTCCTTTAGGATTGACTCCTTGCAGTCCAAGGGACTCTCAAGAGTCTTCTCCAACACCACAGTTCAAAAGCATCAATTCTTTGGTGCTCAGCTTTCTTTATAGTCCAACTCTCACATCCATACATGACTACTAGAAAAACCATAGCTTTGACTAGACAGACCTTTGTTAGCAAAGTAATGTCTCTGCTTTTTAATATGCTATCTATGTTGGTCATACCTTTTCTTCCAGGGAGCAAGCGTCTTTTGATTTCATGGCTGCAGTCACCATGCAGTATGAGAAGGCAAAGAGATAGAAAAGAAAGAAAAGAAAGATGAACTCCCGGGACAAGGGTTTAGAAGATCAGAATTTTAATCTAGAGTTCAACACCTATGTATAACATTAGCAATGTTACTTACCTTTTCTGTATCTGTTTCACCAGCTATAAGATACTGATATGTGCCCTCCCTACCTCACAGGGTTGTTGTGAGGCACAAAATACTGTATCTGAAAATGCTTTGCAAATGGTGAAGTCCCATAAGCCCCTAAAGTGTAAGTTAAATGGAAATACTGTTGCTACCATGAGTTTCTGTATGATCGAGTCACCTGCGTCCTGCCTATGGTGATAGGAACCAATTCTTTGGCAAAGTCAGTGAAAAACAGTGTTGAGATGGTTTTTTATTGAGAGTTGGAGCCTTATTAGTGTAGCTGTATTCTGAAAATGCACCTGGGTAATCAGGTAAGACATACATAAATGATTGTTATGAAGGAGGAAGCTTATACTTTAAGATCTTCAGAAAGAGGAGGCAGAACATGCCATGCAGGGTCACATGGGCAGGCCCCAGAGATGGCCAGGAGGCAGAGGGGAGAGGGCAGAGCGTGGCCTGCGGCCTTTTTGGGGTCCTGGTGGAGAGCTGAGGACAAGGCAGGACGGGTAGACTAGGTGGGTTTGCACTGGAGAATTTGAAATGCTCTGGATGGCTCTGGGCTCTAGGAGTGGTAGGCCTTCCCTAGCGGCTCAAATGGTGAGGAATCCGGCTGCAGTGCAGGAAACCAGGGCTCAGTGCCTGCATCGGGAAGATCCCCTGGAGAAGGGAATGGCCACCCACTCCAGTATTCTGGGAGATCCCATGGACAGGGTGGCCTGGCAGGCTGCTGTCTGCAGGGTTACAGAGAGTGGGACAGGACTGAGTGACTGACACTTTGACTTTCCACTTGATTGTCTGGTCCCTGGCCCTAGGCTGATTCAGAGTGGGAGGAATATTGGCTTGGTCTTAGGATTTGATAAAGGAGATGGGCTGTGGCCTCTGGTTTGTATATCAAAGATACCTCCCAGGGGAATTGTTTGCTCTCTAGAATTAACTATTCCTGGGAAGGGAGGTCTCTCCTGGATCAAGGCCGCCATAAATGCCAGAGCATTGAGAATACAGAGGATAAGAAAATGTAGTCAGTATAGGTTAGAATTAAAGTAGCAGTGTGAACTGAAGACCAGACAATGAAAGGAAAAAAAATATAGATAACATAACTGACCCAAGTATGTTTTCAAAGCTTTTACATAAGCACTAAATATAAACCCGTTTTCCTAAATATATTTTAGGATAACTTTTAAAACACTCCACCCACACTCCTCTGAAATGCTCAAAGCAGTGAATGTCACTGCATGAGTAAATTATTATGGAGCACAGTAAGGGACTCAGGTTACCCTCCACTTTAATGGTCTAGGTCTTTACCTGCGTTCTTAGATGTATTTAGAGGTGAATATTTATAGTATAGTCACCTGGGTTTTTAGGCTCTGTGCTAACAGAATTTTATGTGGATTAGAGATTATTTGATTATTTACAGCATACCCCATTTGCCAGACCATTGACAGAAATGGTTGAATCCCTGAGTCGGACATGACTAAGTGACTAACACTGATTCTCCCAAGGAATAATATAGATTACCTATGGTGATCATTTATATATTGGGGCTTCCCTGGTGACCAAGATGGTAAAGAAGTGTAATATATGTGCTCAGTAGTGTCTGACTCTATGCGACCCCATGGACTGTAGCCTCCCAGACTCCTTTGTCCATGGAATTCTCCAGGCAAGAATACTGAAGTAGGTAGCCATTCCCTCGTTCCCTTCTCCAGGGGATCTTCCTGACCCAGGGATTGAACCTGAGCTTCCTGCATTGCAGGTGAATTTTTTTTTTACCATCCAAGTCACCATGAAAGCCCAAAGATGGATACTAATGATTATAATCAACAGGCAGAAGTTGACCTGTCATGGTACTCCATCAAATGAAACCCAGAGCTAGACTTATTTGGCCATTTTTGTCAGTGGTCTGGCAAATGGGGTATGCTGTAAAGTTCTGTCCTTGTAGTTAGTCTAGAAGAGCTTACTATTAAACTAAAGGAAATGGGGTCAAAATAGCACAAGAGACTCAGAGCTGACTTAAAATTGGCAAAGAGACATTATAGGTAAAGAGGTATCGATCACAATTTGGCAAGATCTAAGTGACTTGATGAACTCTTCCTTGACTGTTCTGTGCTTTGTGAGCTGTTGTGGATCCACAGCAGATTGTGGGGCCAGTGGGGTACTAGATTGGCTTTACTCAGCAGATACTCTTAGCTTGTGCGATGTGCCCAGTTGATGAGGATGCAGTGATGAGAGGCGCAGCTCTAGCTCCTTCACTCCTGGTGTGTCTGTAAGGTGTGCTGATGATACATACACATGGACTTATTCTGTCTTCATTTTGCCAGAAGTTTAGATACTCTATCTCAAAGGTGGGAAGCCTTTTGAAAGGGCATGTGAAGTCAATAAATCAATAGATGGACTTAAGACCTTTTTAATAAAGATTAAAGAGATTTGTGGACAAGACAATAGACAAGGATGACAGGAGATACAGTCCATTCATACATCTGAGAATTTAAGGATGATAGCTATTTTTTTATCATGATAATCTGCTTCAAGATGTTTATTTACAATGTGTTTATTAAATAATACAGTGTTTAATTGAAATTGCTAAATAATTTCAGAAAAGGGCATATTTAAATTGTTTAGAAAGTGTGTACCATCCCCCACCCCGGCTGAAATGGGAGGCCCCAAAACGGGTCACACAGATTGTGTCAGATGAATTTCGAATCCGTAAGCTTGACCATTCAGTTGAGCCTAAATGCCTAGTTGAGGAGATTGGCCCCCTGGAGGACAACTTATTACCAGGAGTCCTGCTCTGCTGTGTGCACCACTGGCCAGTTTTGAACATTTACAGACCTGGGGTAGATATGCTCTTCTCTTTGCCCAGGGGAATGGTGTTTCTCACTTGTCAAGAGTTTCTCCAGAAAGGAGTGAAACAGTTCATACTGGACATGCTTGAATATTTTGTTGTATGCTCCTTATGGAAAAGCTAACTTGAGGCAGTTTTCGAATTTCGGAAGGAAGGTCACTGAGTGTGCATGTACATTTCGCTATTCTTTTCCAGGTTTCCTATGCTCGCCCAAGTTCAGCTTCCATCAGAGATGCTAATTTATACGTCAGTGGACTTCCAAAAACAATGACCCAGAAGGAGTTGGAGCAACTTTTTTCACAATATGGACGCATTATTACTTCTCGTATTCTTGTTGACCAGGTCACTGGTAAGTAGGCAGCCTCTGCTCTGTCTGGCAGATGGTGAAATAGTCTGCCTTCTCATACCCAAGTCTTGCCTCTAGAATGCATCAAAGGTATATATATGGGCCAGAAAATGCAGTTTTCTGCTAAGATTGTTCATAGAGATGCATGGGTAAGCATAGATAGTGTAGTGAGCAAGCTTGAGTCATTGCCTCCCCAAAGGTGCAGGTTTGGAGCCTGTTTTGTGGTTTATAATAATTATTGCATATAAGTTATTGCAAATAATTATTACAAATTAATAATCTTCATTTCTAAGCTGCTGCATGAAAAAAGCTCCCAACCTCCTTATGAAGCATTAAGTAACAGTCTTACTGTTTGTGAAAAACATAGTTTAACGCTGCTAATTCTCTAAGGGAGAATTACACTACATCTACACTAGTAATTGCGATTAAGACTTTCTCAGGTCCATGCTGTGTTGCATAGGCATGCATAAGAGTTTGAAATTTTAAGTGTTAGAAATCGATTTTAATCTCATATTACTTTTAACCAAACCCAAATAAGAAGACCAATATGTTTATTAAAAATTTTGTGTTGAAGGGAGCTCTTCTGCTAAAGCTTTCACTTAAAGAAAAACTAGCAGTAGAGATTTGATTATGGATCTTAAAAATAAAGTAGAGGCACATTTTTCTATTATAAAATCAGTATTCTTTCTAAAACATATTAAAATTAAGGAAGCATGCTAAGGAGGGGGAAAAAAAATCACCTGTAGTGCCATGTACTAAAGCAGGCACTTTAAGATTTTGTGAGTAGTCTCTCTCTCTCTCTTTTTTTTTTTTTTTAAAGAAAATAGGTTTTTCTCTTTTCTGTATGATTCTTTTGTCCTTCCCTCCTTCACTATCCCTGTTGTCTTTCTCTCTCCTTTTCTGTCTCTCATAATTAGAGTACCAGTGGAAATAGTTGTGCATTATAACGTGTGATTATATTTGTTAAGAAATGATGGACCACAGAATACATTCAGGCCAGTTTTTTTAATTCTGCAAGTGATGATCAATTTAGTTGATCTGAATTTAATCAGAAGCATCCTTTGTTATGTTCCTCGGTGCTGTTCATTAGCTTCTTACAGAGTCTGAACATCATACTTCTGAGTTCTGAGTATAGTGGTATCTACCATCATCCATATGCTTGGGAGTGGGGCCTGTAGATTTTACTGTATGGAGAGAATTAGTCCAGTGAGGGTATATAAAAACATGGTCTTCTTAGCTATGTTTCATGATTTTCATACATTCTGTCATGGTGTATTATAGACACAGATGGCAAATGGGGTTGAATAGAAGTCCAGGCCTAACAATGCAAATATATTTGTTTAGAGCAAAATAAAAGGGCCTTTTGTTTGTATTCATGCTTTTTAATTCATTCATTCTTAGTGAGGACTTGAATCAAAAGTCAGTTTCACCTGTGATGCAGAAAGCCATTTCTCAGCTGCAGGTCCATCCCGAGGGTGTGGGCTCACAGGAGGACTATGCAGTCACCTCCTGATTGAGTCAGTGTTTCTCAAGTGTGGTTCTGCACCTACAGCAAAGCACCCTCCTGGAACCTTGTTAGAAATGCTGGCTTGGGCCCCCAAATCTAGTGAATAAAACTCTTAGAGTGGGCATTTTACCAAGCCCTTTGGGCTGTTCTGATGCATGCTCATGTTTGAGGACCATAAGTTTAGGTGACTCATCCTAAACTGAGGCTGTTTCACTGCTCATCTAAGGCTTTACTTATGGAATAATCGAGTTTTAGGGGTTGTTCATGCTTAATAGATAATGGAAAGGATAGATTTGGTGTCATTTCACCATTTCATCTTTACACTTAAGACTTTCAGTATGAAATTGTCCACTTTACCTAAAATGAAAAAATCCTGCAATTTTGTTATTTGTTATAATGTGTTAATATATGTGCATGCAGCAGGTATAGCTTAAAAATAGGGAAGGTGAAGTGATAGGGGCTGAGATAAGTGCATATGGGGGGAAAATGCCTTACCTACCTTAAAATAAAATTCTGAGCCTTTTGACTTACACAGTATTGATTATAAAGCAAGCAGACCTTTATTCTTTTTTAAGGTTCCTATAAATCATAATGGTCTAATGCTTTTCTTAGCCTTTCTTTCTTAATTGCTTCTCACTCTTCCTCAGTCACATACTCTGAATCATCTAGGCTTTTCCTGCTGCTAGTCCCAAGTCAGTACTGCTGCTACTGATTTGTTTTGCCAGGAAAGTCTTTCCCTGCAACTGCTGATCCCATGATGGCCAGCTCTGGCCACCCCAAATAGTCTGTTAAGCTAATTAAATGGAATGAGTTGGGTTTCTTGCTGCCATTTCTCAAAAGCTGGGCAGGTACTTGGCCATCCTTCTGCTTCCCCCCTTCTTGTCTCTCAAGGTGGGGAAAGCGTGAGCCAGGGAATAGCATTCTGTAGTCAGAAGTAATGCTGTCAAAGAAAGCAAGCTTTGAGGCTTTACTTCTGTCTTGTTTATTTTTACTCTTACCTCCTCTTTTCACTCTTTTACTCCCATATAATATTATTTCTCTAATAAAAAAGAGTCAGTTAAAAGCAGTGGGGGAGCTTCAGGGAACCAGAAAAGCCTCTTCAGGCATTTCTCTCAAAGGGTCAGTAGCCTGTATAATTAAGTAGAATTTTATTATTTAAAAGTGTAGCTGAAATATGTTTTTCTACCCCTGTGCATATATTTTTAGCATAGCTTTATAGCATTTTTAGCAAAGGCTTGGTTCTCTTTTCCTTGTTGCAAGAGCAAGCGCTCCTCTGCCATCCTTTTCTGAATTGTTTGTCCAGTAACTTAATTTGAAAAGTACAAGTCAGTCATACAGTTGACATTATTAAAGAATGCACGAGAGGGAGAGAAGAAGGTGGGGAAAGAAACGTGGACATACTTGTGCGCTTTCTTCTTCTTCCTGGCTTACTGGTAGCATGTGGTAATGGACTTTAAAGTGCATTAATTTAATTAATGCATTTCATGTATTTAAAAAAATACAAAATTGTAATGCTAGACTGGATTGCTACTAAGTAAAGGTGAAGCTTTTCTCCTGGTGTGATTTTTGTGGCAGATGTTACATGTCGGTGAAAACATGTTCTTGAGAAGGGAAAATTAATGTATCCTTTCTTCTCTCCCTCCTGTCTCCTTCCACTCCCTCTTTCCCAAATCCTTACCCACATCTACCTTAGGCATATCAAGGGGTGTAGGGTTTATTCGATTTGACAAGCGGATTGAGGCAGAAGAAGCTATCAAAGGCCTAAATGGCCAGAAACCTCCTGGTGCCACAGAGCCAATCACTGTGAAGTTCGCTAATAATCCAAGCCAAAAAACCAATCAGGCCATCCTTTCCCAGCTGTACCAGTCTCCAAACAGAAGGTACCCAGGCCCGCTAGCCCAGCAGGCGCAACGCTTTAGGTAAGTCCGGTCTGCTGCTCACACCAGCGTACTCAGGGGCGCTGTCCAGCACTTGTAAGAGAGGATCTCTGGCTTGCTCTCACAGTCGTTGTTTTCTTTCTTTTTCTTACGGACACAGGGAAAGCCTACTTGGGGTTTAGTGTCTTGTGGATTATACAAGGTGGGGACGAAAGTACAGTAACCTGCGGCGGGCAGTGGTTCTCAATCGGAAATAGTTTTGCTCCTCTGGGGGTGCTGACAGTGTCTGGAGACACTGATGGTTGGCATCAGTTGGGTGGGGATGACTGGCATCTCATGGGTGGAGGCCACGGGTGCTGCCCATCATCCTGCAGTGTACAGTAAAGCCCCCCTACACCAGAGGACTATCTGGTCCCAAACGTCAGTGGTGCTGAGGCGGAGAAACCCTGACCTGCAGAATAGTGGGGGTCTTTGTAACTGTTTTCATTGCTTCTGATTTCCCTCATTTAGTTTTTTACTTTAGAAGGTTTTTTCCTTGTGTTTTAATTTTTTAGGTCAAGCTCTTTCAATTACTTGGTTTTATTATACGTGCACAACTAAGGATATATAACTTATGTGATTACATTATGCTTTTATAAATATATCCATCTTCCCTTTTTAAGTTTTTAATCTTTGCAGTTTAGAGGTTGGCAAATCCCTGTAAAGGCCCAGATAGTAAATATTTTAGGCTTTGTGGCCACAGTATCTGATGCATGTCTTTTAAAAAAAATAAAACAACTCCTTAAAAATGTAAAAACCATTCTTAGCTCTTGAGCTATAGAGAAACAGATGGCAGTCTGGATTTGGCCTGTGGGTGGTAGTTTTCTAACCTCTATAGTCCATGGAATGACCATGCATTTTTAGCCCAGAGAAGATATTCTATCTCATAGACAGGTTAAATATTCTATTTTTTCAAATTTTATTCTAATACTGGGGCACCAACCAAATCTAGTCATTTTCAAAAAAAACCCTTAATCTGCATGTGAGGAGAATGGTGACTTCTAGATGTTAAACAGAGCACAGATACATAAGTAGCTTTTATTTTCTGGAACATTTTTAAGATCCTTTTTTGGCCATATGGTATACTGCAGCCATAATGCCATCTAACCTCCATGCTAGTATTTTTTTGTTCTGTTCTTTATCAGAAGTGCATTATTTCCTTGCTGGGGCAAAAATATAATCACAAATTTAACTTAATAAACAAAGATTTATATTTTCTAGTTTATATCATGTGCATTTTTTTTTCCTTTCTTTTTCTATTTTTTGTGCTCGGGTATTTAGAATGCTGAAGAGAATAAAGATAAAAATCAGTCAGATATCTTCTTTAAACCTCAGTATGTCACCTGAGGTGTGAAAGGGAAGTTTTCTGTAAACATCATGTTCAGTTCTTACTTGAGGTGGCTTTTGCCTTGGGAGGAAAAGTTGTACTTTTCATCTGGAGGCTTCGTCTGGAACTGGATGACTTGGTATCCGGTTGACTGAGCCTGGCGATCACTTCACTCTGCTTCAGGTTTGCATGGTCAAAAGGCATTGGCAGAAAGGAAACAGTGCCACTTTTGTCTGTGGTGGTTGGTAGTAGTGTTTGGGCTGGAGGAAGAGATGGGTGGAGCCGCCCTTGTGGAGAAAGAAATTTCACAAAGTCGTTTCTTAGCTCTGCTTGTAGGTTTCTTCTGTGGCATCTTAAGTGAGTAAACTTTTTTTTTTTAATTTAGCACAGACATGAATGAAGGAATTTTAGAGATTTTTCTTGGGCAGCCTATCCAATTAACCCCAGAGCTCTTTGAGGCCCAGTAAGGAATTTTGATCTTAGGTACAAGAGTTCTTTGAAACTTACTGGTTGATTTTAACACTGAAAATACCACGTGATTGATGTTAGAAGAATGCTCCATGCGTTTAAATTGTTATTTTTGATGTTTCCTAATTTAAGCTCTGGTTTTTGTTTTATTGTAGTTATTGAGTAAAACTATGCTCTTAAAGTCAAGATTGAGTTTTGAGAAAGGCTGGGCAAGAGGACTGGAATGATAGTATCTTCAGGAGAATGCCCGATTATTGAAATGGCAAGGCTTTTGTAGGTGACTCAGATATTAGGTTGTCTAACTATTTTATCTGTTCTCACTTTGATCTATCCCCCTCCGTACATGTTGTGTGTTGTTGTTTTTTTAAATTAAAAAGTTTTATATTGGATAAAGCTTTACAGGTTGTTCTGATAGTCAGATTTAATATTTTAAAAAAATTGCCCATTCTGTGCTTTTATCATTTAGTTCCATCTGTAATTAATGTAGAGATTCTTCCTTTCCTTGTCTCCTATTAAAAACTAATTTTGGGAAAAGGGAATAAGAGTTGTCTGTAAATTTTAAGGGAAACATGGTTTCAGAAAATGGGAAAGATGTTTATTGTCCTTTCAGATTCCTAACTCTTGTCTCTGTCACCTCACTTCCCATTCTTCTCATATCCATCTTCAGATAATAAATTATGAACTAGTCTTTGAGCTCAGTGAAGGCATTTGGTCTAGATTCAGTGTTAGAGGAAATTGAGAGCTTCTATTCCTAGGGTTCAAGTTTAGCCTGATGTGTGTTTGGCTGTTTTTCTTTAATATCTCTGAACCTGGTCTGTTATTACCTTGATTTTTTTTCCCCCCTCCCTCTGTTGAATTAAGGTCAAATCTTCTTCTTTCATCTCATAAACACCCTTGAATGAAGGACCGGCTTGCTTTGTTGGTATGTCGCTCTGCTGTAGTTCAGGCCTAGTTCATTACTTAGATCTTTTGTTCCTCGTATCTGTGTTTTTATGCTCTTAGCCTTGGGTTTGTCACCTTCTTGCCAACACTTAGAAAATTTTGCACTGTGTTTTTCTGTTATCATGGTATCTCGGTAGCTGAGAGAGACTGGAGAATACAAGTTCTAAATATTAATAGTCAGGGATGTTTTTTAATATTTATGAAATGTACCATATCTTTTAAGGCAAAAAAATTAAAATCTATATAGTAAGGGTTGAGTTTAAAAGTGGACTTATGGTGTTTATGGCTCAGTCAACCTGTATGAATAATTAGAAAATTATTTTAACATGAGCACTGCTGATCTAATATGCTTACCTAATTGACTGCAGTTTTCAGAATAAGACCAGCCTTATTTATTTTGATGGCTACTGTGAGTCCCTTAAGTATATTCCTGGGATATGGTATCTGAATTAAACTTCCAGCCAAAGTTTTTTTCATCTCTCTTCTTGTGGAGCAGCCTTAATTTTATTAAATGTGATCTAGTCTAATGACCTGTGTGCCTGCTTCTAGAAGCCTTTATGCATTTTTAAAGGAGCTTCTAAGTCAGCACTTGAGATTCATTTAAGGCATGTGCTGCTTGCACTATCACAGCTTCTTTGGGGAAAAACTGGTGTCAGTCCTCCTGAATAATTTTTTTCTCTTTTGGAGGAATTAGATAAGGACATGAATTGATGATCTTTTTGTGGGTTAACTTAAAAGCAGTCTTGGATGGTGATCTTTAGAGAGGTTTTGAGAGCCACTATTTGTAGAGTTCAGAGTTTTATTTTCTTAACCCATTAACAATCTGTTTATATTTTTTTGTTTCTGACTTGGACTGACATTTCCCTTTACCGGCATGTAGACCCTAGCATAGTCTGTCAGCTGAATTTCTTGGAAACTAGGCACATATCTTCTTTTTATTCTCTACTTATAAATATCTAGCTTTGAAATGGGAATATGTTTCTATTCAAAATATTGCCCACATATAGTCTGATACATCATAAACTATATGCACATGGGGGCTTGTGCTAGTACATTCATTAATTCATAAATGTTAATCAAATGTAATAAAGATAAGGATGAAATAAACAATGTATCAGTGTTTTGCTAATTATCATGCTGACTCATTTTCCACATATGCAATTAGTAAATATTAAATAATACACCTTTGAAGCAAGAGTCATAGAATTATGATCTTGATCATTTAACATTTCTTGACTGACTTCATGTGAGACATGTTTGATTATTTTGTCTAACCTCAGTGTAACTTATCCTAGGAACAGGAGGAATAATCAGCTCTCCCTTTACTTATTTACTCCAGCTTTCCTTACAGGTGTCACCCTCACTCAGATTATGATGGTGATGATGATATTGATATTTGCAGGAATCTTGTAATCTACCTCTCCTTTGAGGGTTGTTGTGGTTACAGCAGTGATTCCCAGTCTAACCCTTCAAATCCACTTAGCATGTTATTTGTGAGTGGATTGTGTCCACGCTGCAGAACAGGTGGTTGTGTCCCTGTCCCTTTGAGGACCGCCAAGTTGTCCCTCAGGAAAGTATGTGATGCCTGGGACTGATGAGGCTGTTGGGTGCAATGTGTTGGTTCAGTAGGAATAAAGATTATTTTAAGATGAAGAGTGTATTTTTAATATACTCTTTAATGTGTATTGGCCACACTGCTGTTCATCATCAGGCACATTCCCCTGGGACATTCCAGAGGCCACTAACTTAGTCTCCCTTAAAAATTGGTTTCAGTCATTAAAAGAGCATATTACAAAAGGCGGCTGTCTCTGAACTCTGGACAGACCCCGGAGAAATAGATGATTCTGGAGAGCAATAGTGGCCCTTGTGTCTCAGCTAACCACCTGGTTGACAGTGTTCCAGCTGCTGCAGGACTCGGGGTGCCTGCGGGCCCAGGGGAGCTCACACGGCCTTCTTCCAGCCCCCGTGGGGCTGCTGAGAGCAGGGAAGGCCACCAGGCCCAGCTGCGTGCAGGCAGGGCTTTTCAGCATTGCTGGGGTTCTGATTCTCAGCTGTGGTATTCCTCCCAGCTCTCCTTGTTGACGGGAGAGGAGGGAGCGGGGTCAAGAAGAGCAAGGGAGAGAGAGAGTTAAGTAACTTGCCTTGAATTCCACAGGACTGACTTTTTCCTAAAATGGATATTGAGCAAAGATGTCGGTGGTCAGGATCATGGTGTCTTACTGGGTTTCACAGGCAGGGCAAATACGAGGCCCATTGAGGGAGTCCTCAGAGATCCTAGTAGAGAAGTCTCCTGCCTGGGGAATCCCGGCGTGGAGAGTGACAGACGAGATCTCTCCCTTTAATGTATGGAGTTCACTTCTAGTGCAGTTTGGTTTCTGCCCTGTCTTGAAAGTACTGAGAACTCACTTGGGAGTTTCCTGTCGCTGGACCTTGGGCTGGTGTCGTAGCTGGTGGTGACAGAGAGTGCACGTTAATGTGCAGACATGACGTAGACTCTGCTTTGGTGTCTGCTTCCGGGTCATTGAGTGCTTTGGAAGGAGGCTGCAGTAAGCTGTTCCATTCTACAGGCGTCACATGCCAAATGCACTCTGGACTGGTCGTTCCAGCATTTTTATGAAATTATCTGTATCATTACTTTATGGTTGGTGATTTTGTTTGCATCTCTATTTCTGGTATTTGTGGCCTTTATTTTGGAATACAAAGGTGTGGCATCTTTGACCAAACAAAACCCTCCCACCTCTTTTCCCTTGCATGTGCAGACAGGCCCCCCAGCCTGCCTTCCTAATAGTTCTTACTCTGGATTACATAATTAAGGATGCTGTTAGCAGCCTCATTGCTTTTATTCAGTCAACAGATACTGATGGTAAGCCTGCTGTGACCCAGGCTGTGCTCCATGCTTAGTAATGAATGTGTCGCTGCTCCTGAGAGGGTGGGGGGAGAAGGTGCACACGCCACACGGTGCTCCTCTGTCACTGCGGTCTGTTCCTCTCTCTTATTAAAGGTATTTTGCATTACATCAGCTTGATTCTTTTCAGTTTTACAAAACACTCAGATGTGCAGAAATAATTGGGAATAGGAACATAAGATTCTTGGTCTACTTCTGAAAGAGCAGAAGGGGGAGTCTTGGGGTTTCTATAAAACTAGGAGGCGCTGTTTGCTCCTCTGTGCTCTAGCCTCACTTGAGGCCACAGGTTAGATAATAAGGTTGAAGCGTTTTTCAAACTAAGCAGTTCATAGGTGTTAAAAGAAGAAATTGTTCCTCAACACAGGCACTTACTTGGGGAGTGCTGAACGTGATGGCATCGAACATTGTGACATGTTAAGTTACGGTTACTCCTCCACAAATGTCATTGACTGGTAAACGTGGAAATAGAGAACGTCAGAATGGTCTCTTTGAGACTGATAAAGCAAGAAGAATCAGGTCCTGTAACATCAGTTTAATTTTTGAGACAGGAAAAGGGTAGAGAGTTTTAAAAGAGTACCCACCCATTGCCATCTACTACTTTTAAAAAAAAATTGTAAGAGAAGGTCAAGTTAGTTTGTTTCTATCTACCTGATCTCTTACACCTTGAGTCTGTACTTCTTGTAGAACAATCAAAATAAACATCAGGCTGGGATCTGATCCTTGCTTTCTTGCTCAGTGAGTCTGTAGTCTTATGTTCTGTGGACTTAGCTGAGCATATTGAGAAATGGGAGGTTTGGCTGAAGTTGTGTATAAGATTCTTTTTATCTGTACTAGTTACACTTTGATTTTTAGAAATGAAAGTCCTTTGTATTTGGAAGGTTGAGGGGAAATTATGAAATTCTGTGTAAACTGCAGAAATCGAGTATCAATGCCACTGCTTTCTAAACCTTTTGGCCTTGGGTGAGTCCCTTAATCTAAGTGCCTCCTGATCCTCAGGAACTAACAGCTGTGAAAACTAACAGTAACAAAGACTGTGTAGGTGTATGTGGGGTGCTTAGAACTTGGCTGCAAAGGTGAGAACCCAAATGGTAACTGTTTCACAGCCCCCACATTTCCTCTCAAAAGGGTTTTCTGAGATGACCACCAGTGATGTCCCTGCATTGCACTGACCTAGGGATTGAAAGAACTGCTGTCATATGGCAGTGGTACCCATTTGCTCAGAAATGTAAGAAGACCCACTATTTTGAGACTTCACATACAGTTAACGTATAAACACCCCCCTTGGAAGATGGCAGTAACGAGCCCAGCTTTCTTGGACATCAAGGGGAAAAGTTAAAAACTGAAGTTTGCTGAATGTGTGTTTTGCAGGTTGGACAATCTGCTCAATATGGCTTATGGAGTAAAGAGGTAATGATAGAGGTTCATGATACTCATAATCCCCTCCCATAATTGATTAGTTTCTGTGATTTGGGGAGTGACAGCCATCATAAGTTTGTGTTGGGTTTTCTTTTGCATGTACAACCTAATGAAAAGCTGTTTCTTGAAGCACGGTTGACTCAGAGTATTTTTATACCACTTGATGCCTGCCACCTGGTGTTTAAAAACCTCATTATTTGTTTTCTGTTGCATTGCAGCGTTACAGCATGTTTATGTCTGTGTTGGTCCTTCCTGCTCCCAATCCGCTTAAGTTGGTGAAACCAGTTCCAAATATGTTTCTTTTTCTCTTGTGGATAGTATTATTCAGTACAGCATATAATGGCCATTTCATGACTTACTAGTATCATGATAGTATAGCATGCTGCTGCAAGCCACACATGGACTTTGGTTGAAACATCAAATAGTTGTGTGTACCTGTTGAGGGGAGGGGAGTTGGGAAAAGAAATAAACCCATCGCTGTAACCAACCTCTGTTTCTGTTTTGTGTGTGTGTGTGTTTCCTATTTTGTTCAGTAGGTTTTCTCCAATGACCATTGATGGAATGACCAGTTTGGCTGGAATTAACATCCCTGGGCACCCAGGGACAGGGTGGTGTATTTTTGTGTACAACCTGGCTCCTGATGCAGATGAGAGTATCCTGTGGCAAATGTTTGGGCCTTTTGGAGCTGTCACCAACGTGAAGGTCATCCGTGACTTTAACACCAATAAATGCAAAGGTTTTGGATTTGTGACTATGACAAACTATGATGAGGCTGCCATGGCGATAGCTAGCCTCAATGGATACCGTCTGGGAGACAGAGTACTGCAGGTCTCCTTTAAGACAAACAAAACGCACAAAGCCTAATGAGCTCTTGTCCTCAGTCCATTTATATATGAAAACTATACAACAAAGGCAAGTTAAGAGAAACTTTATACATTAGTAAATGTCTTTGTAAGTCAGTGTTGAGATGGGGATAAAACGACTACTTAGCATCCTAAGAAATATGTGAGATTTTTTATTGCTAGTATTTGAATTAAAACTTCTTAAAATATCTTTTATGTTTGAATATGGACAAGAGGTACAGGGTTTTTACCTGTCACATTGCATTTTATTGCCTTCTTTGAAGAAGGTGGACCTTTTAAAGTGTTTCAGCTAAGGGAAGACATTTCTTTTCTTTTTACATAACTGCCTTGAACCTGTGAGTAAATATTGAGGCTTTGTGTTGTAATTCTTCAGTTGGTTGTGTCCTTTCCCCCCCTTTTTTTCTTTTTCTGATTAGCTTTGTGTTTGGTTTACATTTAAAGCATTGCTGTTATGTCTAAGAAAAGTATTTTGAAGTTTACATTTTTATTTATGAAGTTAAAAACAGTATTTATTTTGTAATTATGATTTGGGTTGGGGAAGGGGGGGCTACATTATAAACGCTTATTGTAAGAATACTGGAGAACTTTTCGTAAAGCAGTACCTTGCCAAAGAGATAAGAGCCTCTTTGATGTGGGTTTAAAAAAAGCATCTATTTTTATAAAAAAGAAAATTTGGAGAAACTTTTTACTGGTCCTGGAACAAATATTTTGACTTGAATACTTTGAGAAATCTCTTCATATGACACCTAGTGAGCTTTTAAAATTTACCAGGAAATTTGCAGTGGTTGGAAAACTTAGAAAGATTTATGATGTAGAAAATACTTTTGAGATCTTTGTATGAAAGGAGTAGAATCAATGGGGGAAACACTGCTGGTTTCGTTTTTGTAATCACCAGTGTAGCGTCTGATCATCCTGGTTATTACCTGATAGGTGGCTCACATTGATTTGTGATTTTGAAACAAATAAAAAAAAATTTACAAAAGAATATATAAGAGCAGGCAAGAAATTTAAATTACCAAGAGATGGGGGAAAAAAAAAATCTGTTCTTCCTAAAGAAATCCCTTCAGATAGAGCTCATGGTGTTTAGTGATGTACTTGCAGTATTGTTTGAAGAATTGTTTTGTCTTAAGGAAAAAAAGATGTTGCACATGATTTGTACTGCAGCAAATCGGCAAAAGTGATCTGAGTTGGATATATTTGAAGGTATTTTGAAAGTTACGTTCAAGGCTAACACCTGAGCTTTGTGTAATGTAAATAAGACCTTGTGTTTATGAACCTTTCAGCTAATTTGATTTTTTTTTTCCCTTACATGCCAAGTGATGTTCAGGTTTTAAATGTTTTTGTATCAGTTTTTTTCCTTTGTAAATGGCATTAACATTGTTACTTGAGGTCTTGCTTAATCACTTTTGTTGTCCTGAGGACTTGAATTTACAGTGCATCAGATTTGTTGCTAATTTTGTCTGTAGATAGTCTAGCTTCTGCTGTTTATGGTGATGCTACATTTTCGTTTATAAATATGTTTGTGGTAAAAAAAAAAAAATGAGTATAACCATAGGTTTTGAACAAATTTCCTTACATTTTTCATACAAAAATCATAAATATCTGTATGCTATTGAAATTTAACTTTGTATGATGCTTAAACCACTATTTGGGGAAATAATAAAATAAGTCTTTACCATGTATGAAAGAAATTTTAAAAAATACAAAATATTTTCTGATTAGCATCTAGCTTATAATAAATTTTCAAAAAAGCTGAAGGCAAAAATGCCTTCATCAGGATGCACTGAGAACTATATAGTTACGTCCTGCTTTTTGTATAAACTGAGATGCTCACACGCTTCCCCTTAGAACAGGCAACGTGCTATGCATAACATAGTTGTACATTATCTTTGCAGTTGCATTGTTTTATTTTTTATTATTTAAAATTGTAGTTATAAAATTTTTCAGTATAGTACAGTACATATACTGTGAGGCGCGTGCTAAAGTGAATAAGCGAGTTTTCATGCTGACCCACTCAATGCTATTCAGAAATCAATTGGCTTAGCACTTTCTCATATCCTTAGGTGCATTTAGATTGTCAGAGTTAACCTGCGTTTAAAAAAAAAATAAAAAACAAAATACATGTATATACTTAAAAAAAAATAAGGTTTCCCCTCCCGGGAAAACAGCAGCTACATGCTTCTTTCCTATACTACTGTAGCAAACCAAGGCATTGATGAGAGGGCATGCAAATTGTGCTTCACTTCACAGTGTTTATCAGAGCACTTAATAAAATGTAAGGCTGGTATTTATTTGAAGTTGTACAGTATGACTTAATTCACATCTGTTGGAATAGAAAATATATTCTGTTGAGTATTTAAGAGGCTGTACATGTTTTCTTTTGTGTTTGGATTCTTTGTACTTTTTCATGTTCAGTACATCAATAAACAAAGTTGAAGGGAAAGAACAGTGTGGTGAGTAGGTCTTTATACATTTTTGGGGGCTCCTGTGCTCAGTCTAATAAGCTTGCTCTCTTGAGCTAAAAGAGGTTACCTCAGAGCTCTCATTGAAAGCAGTGTTATTGAACAGATTCCAAAAAGCATGTTACGTGAAATAGAATGTGCAAAAATTTTTCTTTCAATGACAGCTTCCTATTATTTTTCAAATATTACTTCATGAGTCATTCTTATAAGGATATGTGCTTTCATTGGCTAGTTGTAAAGTAATTGGATGCTGACATTGTTCTATACTCCCAACTTAATAACCATCAACTTAAAAAAAAAAAAAAAGAATGGAAATTGTCCTCACACATTTACTTGAGCTAAAGAAAACCAAATAGAAGGAAGGTAACTTACTCTGCTGCCACTGACAAGATTTAATTCACCCACAGCATCAGCTGTTGTTGAGTGAAACTTGCTTTTGTCACTAGTGCCAGATTGTCAGACTCATCTGTAAAGTCAGAGAAACTCCCATTTCCATTAGGTTAGGTTGATGTATGTAGTACATGTGTGCATATCATGAACTCTGCCAGCATGGCTTCACGTATATATTCAACAGTGGTAACACATCCTTAAGAGATCCCTGGAGGAAGAAAAAAGGTGTCTTGCTTATCTTTTATATAAAGACTCTACTTCTGTAGAAGTTAAGAAATACTTTAATGAAGTACTTTTTTCCTTTTTTTTAACCAAAGTGTACTAAATGGCTTCTTTTAATTTGATTTTATCTGTCAGCTTTTTGGTAAAAAGCCAGTCTAAAAGTAATTGTCCTGAATTCACAGCTTGGTCGTCAAGAGCTTAGCTGAGTGACAAGACTATTCCTTTTCTTCCAACATGCAATTAATCTCAAATCTCCATACTCCCTTTTTTATTATATGAATTTAATACTCTAATTTTGTGATGTTGGAACAGCCTCCCCTCACCTTTCTCCTCTTGCATGGGTATCAGTATTTTGACTGGTTTGCATGTCAGCAGTTCTTTTATATTTGAACAGATGGGGGGAAGATTCTCAGTATAAGTTTTGTGACTACTTGGTGTGCTTGAGGAAAAATATTTTTTTCTTAGAATCCCCTCTCACCTTCTGCTTTCAAATCATCTAGGGTGTCATAATCCAGTGTTAAAGTAGCTGATACAAATTTTTAATCTTACCATCATTTTACATTATTCTGATTTGAGGAAATGTATTAGCAGTTTAACCTTACTGTTTAAAAAAAAAATAGACTGCAAGTGTCATAGCCTTACTTTTTAAGCTGTTCAAAATGTAGTGCAAACTTGTAACTTCTGTTAAAAGGATTGCCTAGGAATACAATGCATACACGTTAATAATGTTGAAATTTTAATATAGTTCTAGAACAATATGTGTATGCCTTGTAGACAGAGGATAAAAAAAGAGAGAAACAGTGATTTTGATGCTGTTTGCCTCTGTTACCATATAGGATCCTCAAATGGTAGAAGAAGAGAAAAATATTGCTAAAATTATAACAATTTATTACTGTTGTGAAGATCATTGGTAGCCTCAGTTATTTTAGCAAGTGGTTCATTTTTTTTTTCTTTACTGTTTTTTATATTCTTTCTCTGAAGACTTCCAAAACTGGTCTCCACTCCACTAAAGTTTAAAGGATAAAACATCTACAGTATTAATATAGACAGCCTGTTGGTGTGGGGTTGCTGAAATGAACCCTTCCAGTGTTCTGGTTCATAGAAGTAAACAGAAGTATTTTTTGGTTGCTCAGCACAGGTTTATTGATTGTCTGCATACTTATGCTGTGTACTGGGTCTGTAAAAAGGAGCAATACATGGCTCTTAACCTTCTTGGAAACTGTCACTTAGAGATGAGGACAGGCCACCCTGACGTGGCTGCAGTGTCATAAGCGCCATGGCAGCCAAGAGGTAGGCATCAAGCTAACTTGCCAGAGCTGCTACAAACCCCTCTACAACTCAGAAGAGTGGATCTGCTCTGTCCTCCTCATAGATCCTGCTTTTCCTTCTTTGGATTGATTAACTCACGTGTGTAAATTTCAGCCCAACATCAGCATCATTTAGTTTACTAAATGAGATGTTCTCCTATCCAGGAAGTTGTCCATTTTCTTTCTGAAGCAAAATGAAAGTTACAATATAAAATAAAGACACTGCCTATATGAATAGTTGGGTTGATCAAGGAATTGACTGGAAAGTCTTGCTCTCTCTAAACATGTATGGAGTGACAATTTGCACAGCATTCATATAGTAAAATACCTTGAATATTAAAGTGTGCTGACTAGCATTATTCTACTTTGAATGAAGACATGTCACAATCTTAGGGTCTCAAACTCATTATTACTACTACTACTTTTAGTTTAAAAAACTAAAGGTTTAGATTAAGATTAAGCAGTTGATACTAACCCCCAGAAATACTCATGAATGTTACATTTTCAAATACCATCTAGGCATCAAGCATGAACCCATTTGGAAGACAGACTTCCCCCTTATACAGCCTGTCTTGCTCTGCTGAAGATTTGTCCACATCCCCAAGTAACTACACAGTACAAAGAAAGTAAAGAATGCTGTGCACAGAGTACATTAAAAAGAAGAGGAGGACGGGTGTGATGTGTGTGTGTGTGTGTGTGTGTGTGTGTGTGTGTGTTGGGGGAGGATAGTTAGTGGGGTGGGAGTGGGCTTCCACACAGAAATGTGGTACATCATTAAGTGGGGTTTGGAAGAGAATGGGGAAGGGAATTCACCAAGAGAACATGACCAAAGACATGTAGGTGAGCTTCTGTCTACGTGTGACATTTTCCCAGCTTCCCTGATAGCTCAGTTGGTAAAGAATCTGCCTGCAATGCAGGAGACCCTGGTTCAACTCCTGGTCGGGAAGATCCACTAGAGAAGGGATAGGCTACCCACTCCAGTATTCCTGGGCTCCCCTTGTGGCTCAGCGGGTAAGGAATCTGCCTGCTCTATGGGAGACCTGGTTTCGATCTCTGGGTTGGGAAGATCTGCTGGAGAAAGGAAAGGCTACCCACTCCAGTATTCTGGCCTGGAGAATTCCATGGACTCTATAGTCCATGGAGTCCCAAAGAAAGGACACTGCTGAGCAACTTTCACTTCACAAGTTATATTTAATACAGACCTATGAGCTTATTAAATATTTTTGTGTCCACGACTAGGTTAAATCTCAGGTTAGAAATTAAGAGTTTATAGATGAAATACAAACTATGTAAACATCAAAATTTTGTTCTTATTACTTTGCCCATTTCTACTGTAACATTGAAAATATTTTCTGTGATTATATGTGATTTTTGGAGTTGCATAGAACTAGCTAGTAAGGATATTGACTTCGTTTAAAAGAAGGCATTTATATTTGGAGCATGTTGTTCAGTGTATGCAAAAAAAGACTAAAAGAAGCTAAATATCCCCAGTATTAGAACTGGACCAATCTCTTTCTCTTAGAGTATCCTCTTTAAACTCACTAATTTAAGATGATAAAGTGATCTTTCTTTAGTATTTACACTGTTTCTAATGCCATAGTGCCTGGTTCACTTTAAAAATTTGGATTTGTAGTTATTACTTTTCTTACCTATCACTCAGGTATCACCTTTGTGGAAGGTGAGGGGAAAACTATAAAATCCAAATGTTTCTCAGATATTTCCAAGATGAGGTTTCAGTTTGACAACCTTTTACCTGTCTGTTGTTTTGATAGCTCAGTTAACACTCAGACCTTGCATTTCAATGAAGAACTGAAGGAAGGGAAGGCAGCCCATTTATATAGCCCTTCCAGAGAAGGGCTTTATTTGTCTGTCTGTCCTGAAGGGCCCTTGGATCCGCAGATTGTCTATAGCTCGGTGCTGTCTCTAACTCTGCTTTTTATTGTGCTCCCCTTCTGAGAATCCTTGTCCAGATCTGGAGGCAGTCCACTCTGCTGTGGCCCTTCTTGAAGAAGTGAAGACACTGGCAGCGGTCTTCAGGCTGATCTACCCTGTGGAATGAAGCACAGCAGGCGAGGTAGCTTGGTTCTCTGGATTGGGCTGGATTGTGACAAAGGCGCGGCAGCTGTGCTGAGAATGGGGGAAGGCGGCTTCCACCCATGAATGTGAGTGGTCAGACATCCAGGAGATACACAGCTTTCATCTCAGACCCAGATGTACCATATTGAGCACCATATTGAAAGTGCCTGAGCACCTTACGTTTACAGGCATGTACTAATAAGTCTTTTCCTTTCTCAGAATATAACTTTTGTCAAGTTGCAAGGAGTAATAATTATAAGAAATAATGCAGATTTCCACACCAAAAAAGAAAACCTGCTTATCAAAAAGGATAAGTAGCTGTTGCTATATATGTTGAAGCAGCAGTTACAGTTGTTACTGTATTACATATCTTCAGCAGAATTGCATCTCTTGAGAATGGCTGCTGCTGTAATCTCCATATGAGTCCAAGTAAATGGTGAGAGAACCTTCTGCTTTTCAGGAGTTAGTCTTTTGAGAAGTACCTGTTTACGCCCATACATCACATAAGGAGAGCCTCTTTGCTTCTTCAGGTCAATTGCACCTTATGTTTTCTGTCCAAAGATTAAATGGCCTGAGCACCAGATGAATAGGCAGACTCTCTGTCTTTGCTAAATGCAGGGTAGTGAGAACTTCTAAAGTTTATCTGAAACTTACCCTGATACTGGCGAGTTGGTTTTTTATGTGATGGTGGTGTTAAGTTGTGCTTCTCAAACTTTTTCATGTTCTGGGCTGTAGTCCTGAGAAGATCAGTCTCTCTACATGCCCTTGATCCTTCTATGTTGCACACAGGTTGGGGAATTATCTTTTAAATATGTTGTTTTGTTTTTTTTTAAAAACTTCCTTTCTGGTAATTCTTTCATTAAATGTACATTGAACTGCTCTATACAAGTGGCCTTGCTGTTTCAGGACTGAAGATTTAATTTATGTCTATCTTCAGTCTGATTTTGAGCTGGAGGACACCTCAGGCATCCTTAATTCTCACCTCACCTTAATTCTTCAGATGTCAATCAGACCCAGAGAAGGTAAGGCTCTCTAAAGTTCTTCTGCTAACATGAGATGTGGCACTTGAACCCAGTCCTCCTCACTCTTGAAATCTGCCCTTTGCTCTCATTCAGGTACTAAAACTCACACTGCATTAACTTTCATAACCTGTGTCCTTTTGTGCGATCAGATTTCGTGATTTGCAGAATTTGAGTATTTAGAAGTCGAATACAGGTAAGAGTATTTTTTATTTTATTATGGTGCACTCAATATAATTTACAGTCTTGTGGATAATTTTAACCACTAAAATATGGTCACTATAGAAAATTTATAAAGTACAAAAAGCAACAAGTCAAAAATTATTCAGTTCTTTCCTGAAAAAGATCACCTTTTTTCCCCTTTGATGCTTTTCTTCTTGAAGTTATGATTATATATCTCATCTTCATAAAGATTTTAAACTTTCAGATTTTAAAAGTTTGGTTTTTTTCTTGATAAAGCTGTTTTACTTTCTGATTTTGTTCATGAGCATTGGAAAAAATTTTTCAACAGGCATGAGATAATCCATTTTGATTTTAGTTTAAGATAAGGCACATGAAAGCTACTATTTGGTTTTGATTGTATTGATTATTACTGACATGTCAGGGAGGTTTATAAAAATCAAGGATTCTGTATGGTTTCCCATTACAACTCCCATTACAACCTCATTCTTCCAGGTTTTCGTAAAGACTGAAGACCAACTGAAGTATAGAAATTGGGGCGATATCTCCAAGTCTCAGTGTGGGGAGGTGCCTAAATGCCTGCTTGCCACTATTTACCATGTGCAGTTTGATTGCAAACTTCTGCTAAGCAACAGGGCCCTGGGTGGAAAGTGGGGAGATGTGTGAAGCTACTTTTTCTCCTCCTAGATGGGGACACACAGATTCCCTAGCATACTGATAAGTCAGCTGGTTCTGTCCTTTCTTTCTTTAGAAGACAGTGCTCCCTTCATGGACAGGGGCTTGGAGGAGAGAAGGATGATGAACTCGGTTGTAGGTGAGTAATTTTTCCTCCTTCCATGGGTCTCTGATTGCAGGGATCTTCTTTTCTGCAAGGGTCTGGGTATACACCGGCTCCTTATTGCATGTGCCGGGAGAAATAGCTGATAGAAGAAGAGCACTTGTCGAAGGATGGAGGAGGCGAAAAAATGCTTGTTAGAGTGCACCTGGATGTGCCGTGACGTCAGAGGCGGACCCTAAATGGCTCTCCAGCAAGTACGACAGCCTTTTTTCACCCCTTTCTTAACAATGAGATGTAGATTGGGCTTGTTCTCTATTCAAGCATCCTTATGAGTAAATGTCTATTTTTACGGTAGAGCTGCACTTTAAAAATAGCTCCAATCAGTGCGACTCTTTTCCCCCATATGTTAAAAAGTTATATATGAGTTAAAATATCTCAGATTGCTTAAATTCTTCCAGACACAAGGCACTTTTTCTTTTTTCTTTTCTTGGGGGGAGAAGTGGAGGGTGACAGGGGAGAATGAAATACAAAGTAAGGACTTTCTGCGCCTCCTCAACCCTGTGTTTGTTCTTTGAGACTTTTCCAACCAGTCGCAAGGCTTTTAAACCAAGATTTGAGATTTCTGACTGTTAAAAAATTCATTAATATTTGGCGGGTTACAGTCTTCTTCCTGGAGCGATTGTTTATTTTTGTTGCTGAGAGCAATTAGCTAGAACAGTCACAGTTGCAGCTGTTAGATACTCCAGGCTCCAGCAGAGATCACAAAAGGCTTTCTGCACATTTAGAGTCTGTATTTGAACTGTTTTTAATGGATGATTCTTCTGGAGTATACTGTGCGAGCAAACTCGATTGGGTGATCCTGAGCCAAGTCAGATGACAGTGGGATCCTCAGCCTGCTGGGTTGCTTCGAGTCACCTAGGCCCCTTGCTT